CTTTTCATATAGTCCTTCTTTTCTCCTTCCTTCCTTCCATTGGAAGAAAAGTCTTCATCATGGTTCAGTCCAAGCTGGGAATAAACAACATGGCGACTGCTTTAGAAAGAAGGTTGCAGTTTATTGAAGAGGAGAGCCAGACAGAAAGATGGCTCTGGAAGAAAAAAGGGGAGAGCACATGTAGGGAGTGGGGTTTTATACCCTCTGGAGCCTTTTGTTTGGAGTTTTTCCTGTGTCGTGAACTTTGACCTGAATCTGAGTGGGCCTTTTTGGTATTCTGATGGTGATGGGTTAATCTTATTATGTCCAAAGGTCATATCCTGCTTCCCTGGGGCTGGGGCTAATGACTCTTAGAGTTTGGATGGGGTATGTAGATTTTAGGTCTTCTTAATCTCCTAGCTCCCTGGATCTACATCTGCATCTCTATAGAGCTGGTTTCTGCTTGGGGAAGGGAGACTTGGGGCTATTAAGAAAAACTGGGCATGCTTTCCTGCCTCTTTAAAATCCTTGGAGGAAATATATTTTTCTGCCCTTTTAATATTTCCTTCTCTGGGGAGGCTGGCTTCCCACATGACTTTAGCAGATAAAATAGTATGCAGTGAGATTTTGGTGAACTCCCTGTCTATCGAGCCACACCCAACCGAGGCCCAATGAAATGGATATCCTTGCTCCATCCATCTGCAGGACTCCAGCTAGTATTTTGCAACTGTAGAAGACTCCAGTCTCCAGAGAGACTGAGATCATTGCAAGCCAATGAAGCCGATTGTTGTCCTGGTTTTCTCTCCGCCTTTGGCTGATCCAACTCAGGGTCCTATCTTGGGATAAATACCAGTATAAAGAGTCCAACTCACGTGTCTTTTTTTATTTTGAAACATAGCGAAGAGATTGCTAAAGACGTAACTTGGGACTCGCTGATGGTTTTTTTTTAAACACTTGTTGATTTTACCCGACGATTGTCAGGATCGGATTTCAAAGGGAAGGACAAATAAAAATTCACGGATAAATTAAAAAAATACACAAATGGTGCGCTCTTCAATAGGTTTTCCACCCCAATTTATTCCAGGGGAGGGTGACTTCTTTTAAGCTTATATAAAAGCCTCCCCCCTTTTAAAGAGTTGATAATCTGACACCTAGGAACAGTGGGAAAATATCAGTGGACTTCCTTATGTTATAGATAATTAGCTAGGTTTTGCCCAGATCTGAAAATTTACCCATCTAATTTTTTTCCTCCAAAGGATATATAGTCCAAACACCATACAAGGATATTTAGAAAATTTACATTCTTTTTCTACCTGAGATTCCCATTTAATGATATAAAGCCGGAAAAAGTTAATGAGAGGTTGCAAAGTAAAATCTCTATTTTTTTTTAAAAAAGCAAAAACAGTCCACAAGATTGTCATTATCTGTGCCACCAAACTACCACACAAGTCTTCAAGCCGAGCATAAACAGAAATTCTAGACAAAACAATCCAAGCTGTAAACAACACCCCAATTCAATGAAATACCAACTCAGTCAAACAAACAAGTAAACAGCAGCCTAACCAAGAAGCCACCACACTACATTTAGGCAAGAAAAACCAAATGTGCAGGTATAGTATAGGGCAGTGGTTCTCAACCTTTTTAATGCCGCGACCCCCAACCGATCGTAAGTCGAGGACTACCCAACCGGTTGTAAGTCGAGGACTTTCCCTGCCCGGGAGCGCCGCGCATGCGTGGTGCCGCCTCCTGCACCGGCCGAGGCGTAGCTGGCAAGGGGCAGCGACGGCCCAGGGCGACCACCAGCTGGGCCACCAGCTGGCCCAGCCCAAGGGAGGTAAGGCACCCGCCGGGCCCCACGCATGCCAGCAACCCTCCCTGCGCCCGCCGGCCTCCCACCTACCACCCCTGGCCCTCTTTTACTTACATTTTTAGTAGTTGCTCAGCAGGGAGGGGTGGAAGCGTCCAGACAGTTCGCCTTCGCTGCAGACAACTTGCAGCACCGTTTGCAGACTGGGGCTTTTGGCGGGCTCAGCAGGGCAGAGACAGCCTGGACAATTCCTATTGGCTTTTGAAAGCCAATAGAATTAGACTCTATTCAAGAGAGTCTATTCTATTGGCTTTCAAAAGCCCACAGAATAAAAGGGAGTAGCACAGCTAAGGAAAAGGGGGAAAAACGGCGGACTGCGTTGTTTGGCAACCCCCGTGAAATGGTCGTTCGACCCCAAATGGGGTCACGACCCACAGGTTGAGAACTGCTGGTATAGGGGGTACCTTGCTCAATAGTAGCAACTGTGAGAGGGATCTCGAAGTCCTAGTGGACAATCACTTAAATATGAGCCAGCAGTGTGATGCAGCTGCCCAAAAAGCCAACACAGTGCTAGGCTGCATTAACAGAGGGATAGAATCAAAATCAAGTGAAGTGTTAATACCACTTTACAAGGCCTTGATAAGGCTACATTTGGAATACTGCATCCAGTTTTGGTCATCACGGTGTAAAAAAGATGTTGAGACTCTAGAAAGAGTGCAGAGAAGAGCAACAAAGATAATCAGAGGACTGGAGGCTAAAATATATGAGAATGGTTGTTGGAATTGAGTGTGTCTAGTTTAATGAAGAGAAGGACGAGGGGGAACATGATAGCAGTGTTCCAATATCTCAGGGGCTGCCCCAAAGAAGAGGGAGTGAAGCTATTCTCCAAAGCCCCTGAAGGCAGGACAAGAAGCAACAAATGGAAACTCATCAAGGAGAGAAGCAACCTAGAACTAAGGAGAAATTTCCTGACAGTGAGAACAGTTAACCAATGGAACAACCTGCCTCCAGAAGCAGTGAATGCTCCAACACTGGAAGTTTTTAAGAAGAGACTGGACAGCCATTTGTCCGAAATGGTATAGGGTTTCCTGCCTGAGCAGGGGGTTGGACTAGATGACCTCCAAAGGTGGGTCCTGTCTGAATATTCAGCAGAGTGTGGTGGGTGCAGTTTAATGGAGGATATTTTTTATTTTTCCTCCCAGGTGTAAACTCTTCTGTCGGTGGCTTTGAAGTTTTGTGCACACCTGTGTCGATCCCAAAGAAAGGGAGGCGAGTCTTTCCACACCCATGTTCAAACATAAAATACGCCCTCCGGTATCTTTTTCAAAGTCAAATCCATACCTGTTGAGGTTCTTCTGGAGTTAACCCTTTGATCGGAACGAAGCACCCCTAACCCAACAAGGAAAGGAAGAATGTTTTCATTTTTAAACATCTTACAGCTCCACTGCTTGTAGGGCCTGATGGAACCGAATCATTATAAGAATAATTTTCTATGCTTGTGCAAAGAAACATACAACTATATTGGAATAAAATGACTCAATCTATCGTTTGTTTTATCTATCTACCTTCCTACCTACCTGTCTGTCTATCTATCTGCCTGCCTGCCTGCCTCTCTCTCTCTCTCTCTCTCTCTCTCTCTCCCTACCTACCCACCTACCTACCTATCTACCTACCTACATATCTATCTATCTATCTATCTATCTATCTATCTATCTATCTATCTATCTATCTATCTATCTATCTATCTATCTATCTATCTCTACCCTACCTACCTCTCTCTCCTTACCTACCTACCTACCTATCTATCTATCTATCTATCTATCTATCTATCTATCTATCTATCTATCTATCTATCTATCTATCTATCTATCTCTACCCTACCTACCTCTCTCTCTCTCCTTACCTACCTACCTACCTTCCTACCTACCTACCTATCTATCTATCTATCTATCTATCTATCTATCTATCTATCTGTAAAACTCATAGGCCTCCCATTTGACCTCAAGGTAACTCTGGGAGGCTTACAATCATAAAAATAAAACTACATAAATTAAAAACATCAATAAGTCAATACACAATCCAAAACGCTTATTGAGGACATGTTCAAAAAAATGTCAGCTATCAATTATCAGTTCATGAGCCTGTTGACACACATGTATACACACACACACACACACACGTATGAATTCCTCAAGAAGACTCAAAGAAATGCCAACTTTTGAGAGAAATTAATTGCTGAAATCCATCCGTCAGGATAAAGCTTATAGATGCAATTCAACAATAGCTTTGACTACTGGCGTAGTAGGATACTTGTGGGAGGGGAGAAAACCCAACAACCTTAACATGCATGTAAGATGATGCAAAGATCAAAAGGTTTAATCCTATAATATAATGTAACAGACATTTGAGAAATTCCCACTGGAGGGCAAAAAGCAAATTTTATCTATTGAGCTGTTACTTTTTAATGACCTCTTGTGGGATTTTGGTCTGCTTGTCTGGAGCCTAGAGGCCAATTTACAGTAGGCAGACATATTTTTCTGGGTGTTTAGTGCTCTTTTTCGACTAACAGCAGGCAGAAGAATTGCAGGTCCCTTCCTCCCATTCATAATAATAATAATAATAATAGTAGTAAAGTTGGAAGGGACCTTGGAGGTCATCTAGTCCAACCCCCTGCTTGGGCAGGAAACCCTACACCATTTCGGACAAATGGCTGTCCAGTCTCTTCTTAAAAACTTCCAGTGTTGGAGCATTCACCGCTTCTGGAGGCAGGTTGTTCCACTGGTTAATTGTTCTCATTCAATCTGCTCTGGCCTTTCTTTCAAATGACAATTAAATCTTAATGGGAGGTGTGGTGTTTTGATATTGGCTTAGATACGAAGGATGGGTACAAGCAAATGTGTGCGGAACACCCCCCCCCCCCAGCTTTCCTTATACAATCTACCATTTTTTCTTTTTCTTTTTTTATTTTTGCCTGAATGCATATTCTTCATGCATGTCACTTCAAGCAGTCACTAAATGAAGTGTTGTAAATTGAGGACTGCCTGCAGAAAACCTTTGTGATCTCTTTCTCACCCTTAATAAAATCAAGAGGCGGTTATTTTAAGTCTCTTTCTCGTGCCCTTTTCTTTCTTGGGACGAAGCCATCTCGTTTACTTTCCGATAGCCGGCCGTTCTTGTGTTTCTTCTTCAAGGTTATCTCCTAATTCTTCTGCAGGGTGCCAGATAAGATACTTAGGAGAGGAGATTTGATGGAAGCTTATCCAATTACGCCTGGCGAAGAAATTAAACCTAAGGACGAGGCTTCCTTCCTTCCGAGAAAATGAGAGGTAGAGACCGTCGGATGAAATGGACCACGTGGAAACTTAAAACAGGTAAGAAGAAACGATTCCTCCCGCCACATATATTCACCCTACGGAATATTCTGCAACAGGATGCGAAGCTGGCTACTAGCTTAGCTTGAAAAAAGAGGACTAGAGGGGATTTCTAGAACGCAGGTGTGTTAATGTCGCCGAGGCTTCCTGAGGGCCAGGAAAAAAAGGAAATATCTCCTTTCAGACAGAAGGACAATCTGTCCGGTCCTCAAAAGAGTATTGAAGGAGCAACGGGAGAGGATGTCTGCCTCTATTTCAGACATGTCAAACACAAGGCCCAGGGCCCCCGGATGCGGCCCGCGAAGTGGTTTCATGTGGCCCGCGAAGCCATCCTGGAAACAGTGAGGGAACGGTCCCCGCTACCTTGGTCCTGGTCTAAGCCAGCCGGGAGCCAATGTACAATTTTGTGGTGGCCATCTATGCTGAAACGCATTCAGTCTTAGCTCCACAAGGCCATCTGGAAACAGCGAGGAACCGGTCCCTGACGTGTCGGCCCCGTCCCCTGGGTGCATGCCGGGGAGGGGTCACCGTTTGTGAGGAATGAAGAAATGGACCATCGCCTGGAAGTGGCCAGCAAATGGCCCTCGCCTACTTCCCATATCCGGCTTGATGGGTTCTGCCCAGGTCCCACCCTCTTCTGCCAGAGACCCTCAGATCTGTCCCACTCCTGCCCAGGCCCCCAAAGGCACCCTTGACGCGAATGATGTAGAGCTGGCCATGCCCACCCAGGAGGCCACACCCACTCCATCCACGCCCACCCAGCAGGCCGCACCCCCTGGCTCCCCCCGAGGGCAACCGCAATGCTGATGCGGCCCTCAATGAAATTGAGATTGACACCCCTGTTCTAAACTAATGGTCAGCACCTGGTTAGAGTTAGATACGGATCAACAGAATTTAAGGGAGGTTGCCATTAGTTCGCTTGTGGCTACGCAGGGATTCTAGGCTGATTCCTCTTTTCACCCCTCCCCCCAGGTTCTGCCATTCTTTCTGCTACAATTTAAAAAAAATCCTTTTTATGATACCCCTGCTCTATTTCCTACGGGTGGGCTTTTTAGATGTAGTCCCAGAAATTTTTAAGGCATCAAGGGACGGAGAAATAGCACTGGAACGCTAGCGATAGTAGCAGGAATATTAGGGAGATAACTGTAGAAATGCTGAAGTTTTCATTTTTAAAGGCAATTAAAGATGCAGTTTAATGCATTTCTCGGACTTGTCATAAAGCAGATTTTAAGAAATGCAGGGAAATGAGGGGAGCATAAGCCTTGGGCATAGCAGAAGGCTCTCGGTGGAAGAAATGGAAAACTTAGGCTATAATCCAGAATCCTCATCGCTGTGAGGATTAACTTATTTTTTTTTTACCTTTTTTTTAATAAAAAGTTTTTTATTTTCCATTTATTCATACAAAATACAATTCAATTAAAATACATTCCTAACCATTGGTACCGCCTGCCCATTCCCCCCCAGGCCGCGTCCACCCTCTCTAATCCTTCCCTACTTCCCTCCTCTTTCTCTCCTCCCCTCCTACTCTCCTCCCCTCCCCTTCTCCTCTAACCATCCTACTTCTTCCCTACTCCTTCCTCCCCTCTCATCCCTCTCACACACATGAACGCAGCATAGGGGAAATGCCCAAGCGTTTACCATGACTATATTATCACTACCCACCCACTCACCCACCCACCCACCTTCAACCCTCCCCCCCTCACTTCCCAGAGCAGAGTACAGGGTTATTAATAAGAAAGTTAACAATAATAAAAAAGAAAAAAAAACAACTTAACTTAATTTTTGAGGCAACTGTAAGATAGAGAGAGAGAGAGTTGCAATATTTCTAAAAGATGTTTGGAAATTGGCAAGACTCTAATAAAAATGTTCTACTGGAAATAGTTCTGACCTATAGTTCAAACTATGCAATGAAAATGATGAACTACAGTTCAGTCAGAATAGAGCTGGAAGGGATCTTGGAGATCTTCTAGACCAGTGGTTCTCAACCTGTGGGTTGGGACCCCATTTGGGGTCGAACGACCATTTCACGGTGGTCGCCAAACAAGGCTGTCCGCCATTTTTTCCCCTTTTCTTTGGCCACGCCCCTGGCACCCGGTGATGTATAAGTGGTTGGGGGTCACCACAACATGGGGAACTGTATTATGGGGTCGCGGCATTAGAAAGGTTGAGAACCACTGTTCTAGACCAACCCTAGCTCAGGCGGGAAACCCTAGACCATTTCAGACAAATGGCTGTCCAGTCTCTTCTTAAAAACTTCCAGTGCTGGAGCACTCACAGCTTCTGGAGACAAGGAGTTCTACAGGGTTAATTGTTCTAATAGAATAGAATAGAGCTGGCAGGGACCTTGGAGGTCTTCTAGTCCAGCCCCCTGCTCAGGCAGGAAACCCTATACCATTTTGGACAAATGGCTGTTTAGTCTCTTCTTAAAAACTTCCAGTGTTGGAGCATTCACAGCTTCTGGAGGCAGATTGTTCCACTGATTAATTGTTCTCACTGTCAGGAAGTTTCTCCTTAGTTCTAGGTTGCTTCTCTCCTTGATTAGTTTCCATCCATTGCTTCTTGTCCTGCCCTCTGATGCTTTGGAGAATAATTTGACCCCCTCTTCTTTGTGGCAGCCCCTCAAATACTGAAACACTGCTATCATGTCACCCCTGTTTCTTCTTTTCTTTAGATTAGCTGCCACACCCAGTTCCCGCGACCGTTCTCCATAGGTTTTAGTCTCCAGGCCTTTACTCATCCTAGTTGCTCTTCTCTGCACCTTTTCCAAAGTCTCAATGTAATGTGGTGACCCATATACAGATAAACAACTTTGAATTTCATGCATTATCTTGGCTCACAAATGAAAAAGAATGCCTCTGAGTACTTCAGGACAAGAAGCAACGGGTGGAAATTAATCAAAGAGAGAAGCAACCTAACTTCCTGACAGTTAGAACAATTAACCAGTGGAACAACCTGCCTCCAGAAGCGGGTTGGACTAGATGACTCCAAGGTCCCTTCCAACTTGATGATGATGATGATGGATCATCGCACAGTCAGCCAGATGTTCAGACTGGATTTGGCATTTTGTCTACCTATCGAGTCCTTCCCAAGGATCTGAGATAGGCAGATGTGAATGTTTGATGGTATTACAGATATTGTTGCAGGATGGAAGCAGTTCCTTTTGCAATTGACTAATGGCGAATTTGTCAATGCCAACGGTGTTCAAGTGGTGCTCCAGTTGTTTTGGTATTGCACCCAAGACACCTATTACTATTGGTACTACCCTTGCTTGCTTTTGCCACAGTCTTTCTATTTCTATTTGTAGGTCTTTGTATTTTGTTATCTTCTCCAGTTCTTTCTCGTCTATTCTGCTGTTGTTGTTGTTGTTGTTGTTGTTGTTGTTATTATTATTATTATTATTACTACTACTACTACTACTACTACAAAGTCTAATATTCAGAATACACATCTTATCTATTTGAATATATTAGGCCCTTTTCTTTAGGCAAAACACAGGTGGTCCTTCAACCACACCACGGTGGCTTGTCACCTTGACTTTTCTGACCAGACAGGGTGGATGCTCTGCATCAGCTCAAATGCTCCAAAAGTTTGTAAATGCAGGAGCATATCTTCTCCCCCACATCTTGTGCGCGCGTGAATTGTGGCTCGGAAGAGAAACATAGGGTCTGCTACCAAAGTTTAGACTTTCCTGCCCCAAATATTTGACAGAGCTTGTTAGCTTCAGAGTGTGTCGTGTTTATTTTTAAAACCCAGACTCTTTTCAGCTTTGGCAAAACAGCATTAAGCAGAGAATTCCAAGTGATCTTTGTCGCGCTCTGTTTCCTTAACAACCTGCAAACACGACGTTCACTCCCCATCATCCAGAAAGAAAGCAATGCCAAGTTGTAGTTACCCATGGCCTAAAATCTAACCCCAGAGAGCTATGCATACAGTACAGTACAATAAAACCTCATTCCTGTTAGCCAATCTTTCTCGTTCCTTGCTTGTGGGTTTGCAGACAACTTGGTTTATTTAAACTTGGTACTAAAATGTGGTAAGACCTGGCAAGTACAAGAGAGTTTACTGTGATTTTAATATTACTAAAATCCAGATTTTAGTTCAGGGCAATTATGCTGTTCAATTGGAAGTCTATGGATATTCCCAGTTACCCAGGTCATGGTGGTCCCATGTTTTCCTTGCTAACCTTTATTGTCTTTTTTTTTTACTGTGGGCACAACGGCACACATCAAAAATGAAATGTAGTTGTCCGCTCTCAAAATGAAACACATACATGATGCACACCTAAACATACTATATATAGCCTATGTATAGACCCACACTCCTATATATACATAGCAAATAAATATTAAATATTGTCCATCTTGAATGTATAACGGAAGGAGGAAGCTTGAGAGTTCGCAAGGTTGATGCTGTATGGAATGAAACTATGGCTGAATCGGGATGTTCTGCTACGGATACCACGGAGACTCCTCCCAGAAGGTAGCAAGAAAAACAGGGCGTGAAGAGGATGTGTAGTGTCCCAAATAATCTTACGGACCTTGCTCAAGCAACGCTTCTGTGCTATGTCCTGGATGGGAGGGAGGGAGCTGCCAATGATCTTTTCTGCTGTCCTCACCACTCTCTGCACCGCCTTCTTGTCTGAAGCAGGGATGCTTCCAAACCAGACTGTGATGCTGTATGACGGGATTTCTGCATTTATAGTACCCATGTACTTGCACTAACATTATCCACTGGGTATCCACATATTATCTAACATGAAACATAGCCAACCTGCATAACCCATGCCTTGCTTAAACTGAATGCTTCTTGTTAACAGGTTTACGACATTCCTTAAAGGGATATGTTACGCCTAGCCACACATTTTGTGGAATTGTCAATTCAGCCCAACTGCACTTGTGGTTAAGAGAGCTATTCTTGTTTCATATTCGTATTTCCTAATTACAAGGGGAAATGTTAACAAACAGGCTGTTAATTCTTCTATTATAAAGGAGCGCTCCAGG